AATACGATGAGACATCGAGCTCACTTAGAGCAGTAGCTCAACAGGTGTTACTCAGAGTTCCTCGTCACGTAGAGTTGTAAGCATGTGAATTCCTCGAATCGAGAGTTGTTGTGATAGTAAGGTCGAGCTAAAGGACACAATTATAGATTTGTACTCATTCATTAAGGTTGACTTCAGAGCTCATGCGGCTGCTCGGTAGAGAAGGGAGAGGGTGACAGTCGGCATCTCATGTCGGGTAGTAGATAAGCCGAACGCTCTGGGGTGATACTCTCCGACGTGTCTCTCAATTCTTTTATCGGAGGAAAGATTAGAGTGGGGCTTGTCACTCCAAGGACAAAAGTGGTATTTACCCGTCAACAGATTGCCTCGCTTCTCCGAGTATATAAGAAGCTGATTCAAGCGTCTCTTGCGTGCTAAACTTACAAAGGAGCGCGCTGCTTTTGACGACTTCGTCGACAGGATTCAGGTGAGCTCGAATCCAGATCCAATCACTCACTGTGAATACGATGAGACATCGAGCTCCCTTAGAGCAGTAGCTCAACAGGTGTTCCCCAGAGTTCCTCGTCACGTAGAATTGTAAGCATGTGAATTCCTCGAATCGACAGTTGTTGTGATAACCACGTGGTGACAATAAGGTCGAGCTAAAGGACACAATAATAGATTTGTACTCATTCATAAAGGTTGACTTCAGATCTCATGCGGCTGCTCGGTGAAGTAAATCCGATTCTGAAGTACGTGATTTGTCTGCAGGAACCAGGGTACTCTACAAAATGGCTCTCATGTCCGCCGCTGCGTACATTTCGCTTCTATGCGCCTGCTCGTTGATGCTCACTAGCTACGTGGAAGCTTTTAATAGCGTGCTGCTGCAAGGTTCCACTATGTTTTCTGGGCAATATCTTGCTGAGGGACCTTATCAGTTCAAAATGCAAGAGGACTGCAACCTCGTGTTGTACAAGAACGGGCAACCAATCTGGGCGACCGATACCGGTGGTCTAGGCCGCGACTGCGAGTTCCGACTGAAGAAAAATGGAAACGCAGTACTCTACACTGGCTATGACAACGCCTTGTTTGAGTCCAAGACTGCGGACATGAACAACGGGGCTCACTACATAATAATGCAGTGTGATGGCAACGTGGTGATGTACACTGCAGAAGGGAGCCCGATTTGGGCGACCATGACAAACGGAAAAGTCCAGGTCATCGATCTCGGCACATTTCCCACTCCAACTGTGAACTCCACTTCGTCGGCTGTCATCAAGTCTGTGAGAGGAGGACGTTCTCAGTAATGAGGTGACAAGGAGAAATACTTCTGGCAGTCACCATCTGAAGAAGGAATCCTACTCTGAGTATGGCAGATGCAAACGGTTATGTGCAAGTGGATGCTAGTACTGTATTTATCGGGTTGGATTTGCAGTTATAGATCTAGTATACAGATGAAGATGGCTAAAAGTTTGCTCAATAATCGTACGAATCTGGGATGACGATATAGACCTTCTCAGATTTCTGTACACATCTTTACTCTGGTATAATCTAAGTGTGCATTTGAGATGTGAGAATTCCATCCATCACCCAGTTGAGAATGTGGTAAGGTATCAACGATCTATGTGAATATGGTGAGGTATCAACGGTTTATGGCGTTTTGTAGTCTGGGAATGTGGAATCTGTCACCATAAAGATTATAACGTCTTTCATGCAACGAGGGAGGTCAAGAAGCGCGAACACTCCTACAGGTAGCCATGGCTCTGGTTGTATTGATTTGCATGTAACCAGATTTGCGTGTGATTTGTGGAGTGTGATTTGCATGAAAGTCACCTGACGCGAGCCATTCGTGCTGTTCATTCGAAGATATTTTTATTACTTTAAAAAATTCTAATTTTAAAATTATTTTTCTTTTAATAAACATGGTATGATTTTTACTGAAGCAATGCGCAATGGTATTTTGATAAGTAAAAACGGATTACATGAAAGTTTTTTGAATGATTTTTAGACTCATTTCTGTATTTATGTGAAATTTAAAATATTGGATACTTAGAATTGGATTGAAGTATTTAAAAATGATTATGTTGAAATAATTGTTTAACACAACATGAAATATAATATTTCTTTGATTACATAGTTGTGATTTTTCAATGAAAAAATGAAATATATAGGAAATCATTATAGTATACATATCTCAATTTCATACATATTAATGATATTTACGATTTTCGGATTAGATTTTTCAAATTCATAAATTAAATGTATTTTTATAATAATTTCTTTTACTTTCTATCTTTATATTTAATAAATTTTGTTTCATAAATCAAGTTTTACAATAGATCATATTAATATCATAAATATCAACTAAAATTTAAAAATTTTTAATATAAGGTTTTATTTAAGAACTTGAATGTTTCAAATTTTGAAAAAACTTTTAAAAAACTAGTTAAATCTTCAATTTTTTATTTCCAAGTTATCATTATTATGTGGATACATGATAACCTATCATTTTTTAATTTTAAAAGCGGATTTGGAATGAAATTTGTTATAGATTTTAATGTGTATATTATTATGGATTTAAATTTTTAAAATAAAACAACTCAAGAGATAAATAATAACATTATGCAGTTGATATGCATACAATCGAATAATTTCAAGCATATGCAATTTTTTAATGATGATCTTGGAAAAAAAGGTTTCAAAACATTACCCAAAAAAGTTAAAAAAGTCAAAACCCAAAAAAATCGAATGAAAGTTTTAACATCTCATAAAAAATGGACTATATATATATATATATTATATTCTAAAATATACTATTCAAAAACAATTTTTCAATAGAAATTTTAATACCTCTAAATATCATTTTTATTATGTATGATAAAATAGCTTTATATACATTATTTATAGAATTATTGAAATTTTTAAATTTCGAATAAATGATATTGAAACATTGCACATTTTCATTGGAAAATTTTCATCTATATCTTTTTCGATATTGATATTCGACAATATTTCAAAATTATCAACCATAATTCGTTAAGTATAATATAAAACACAATATCATAAACTATCATATTTTTTTAAGAATATCTGAATTTGACGGAAATGATATAGTACTTCAAGGAACATTGGTTTTATTTTTTATCTATAAAGATACTTTTACTATTCAACATTTAAAAGTTCATTTCGGAAAGTACTTTTTGTAGTGTTTGGAAATGGTGAGTCTAATACTTCAAAGAACTCAATCACAAACCTATCTAAATGCTTGGATTATTCCAAGCCTCACTGGAGTAAGATTGTTTTGTAAGATGACTTAAATCATTGCGAAATCGTTATTCACAATGCCCGGCTACCAAACGTTCATTGTATTGATACACTATTTGATCAATGTAGTTTTGTTGCCAAGAAACTGTCAAACTATCTTGATAATTCAAACATCCCTTCTTATCAATGTTCTAAGTTTGTGAGGTAATCAAGGAGTCAAAATGTTGGAACTTGCATGGTTGACCTCATCAAGTATAACTTTGATAATTTTGGCATGTTTGACAGAAACATCAAGATAATTTGACTTCTCTTTTGGTGAGAACTTTTTATATATTGCCATTTCACGTGGTGGTTGATGCGCTGATGTTACTGTAGCTACTAGTTTTGAAATGATTACTCTTAAATGTCCAAAATATTGATGATTTTTTAGCGTATCCTTCACATGCGAAACATACACAGAATCACCAACAAAGAACAAACCACTTCAGAATATTGAGGATCATAAGATGCAATGTAGATACTATACTATGAGAGATGTTTCGGCTCAACCCAAACCCACCCAAGTCCATGGATTTTGAGTATTGATGCGTTTGAAATCAGATTGTGGAATAGGGTTTAGGGGTTTATGGTTCACACGTTTTCAGACGTTTGAAACATTAACATCTTTTGTTCCCATTTTTTATCACTATTTTTCATCTTACGCTGCTACTACGGACCTAAAATCAAATTGCAAAATTTTGCAAACTTTCATACGTTAAGATTGCAATTCCTTGCAATAAATTGTTTTTAATTGCAAGTTTTTTTTCTATCTTTTATACCCGTGTTTGTAGAATCTAGAATTGCATATGATTTGAGTCATTTGGCAAATGGTCCTAATGGTCGAGTGCTAGGTGGGATACCAAGTCGCAAGAAAATAACTCACTGTTCACCATAGTACACATGACTATAAACGGGATAAGTCTTAAATAAAAATCGTCTTTATTTCATACGTTTTAAATGCATTTTATTTTTTTTAACACATAACCTATCCATAATTTTCGGTAACATTATTTTTCCATGGATGAGCACAAGTAATGATCTAACCAAGAATTGATCTAACCGGTATAACACAATTTGAATAGCATGGGTGGGGTTAGGTCTCTGATGATGGTTAAGGCCTGGGTGCAGATTTTGAAGTAAAACGTTGGCCTCTGCTAGAAAGTTATAATTCGTCACTTTCTAGGTTTACTTTAATTCAACTTTATTAAAAAAATATATTTATTAAAATAAAAAACCTCATAGTCGCGTCACCCTCAAACCTCATAGTAATCTATGATCCAAATTGACGTATTTAAAGAGTCCTGCATATCTCTGATGGAGAGAATGACATCATTCGGTTAAAATGATCAAAGATCAAATGCGTAACTTTCATTTAATTGGGCTAGTCGAGTTACCCGATCCGATAGCCAACTTGGGCATCCAAACCCCGTGATAACATCTGGTCGACGACCTGATATTGGCCACGCCTCGTACAGGCTAAAGAATCGTTCAAAGACATCCAGTTTTATGTTTTGACTACGGAAATTTCTCAGTCACAGAGGTCGAGTTTCGACCGGCTCCATCCCGAGGAGCTTCTATATGAACTTGTAGACGAGTTTTTTCCGGTATTAGTGTACGCATAGGCTGATTTATCTAATCACTTTCATTCACATTGTCAGAATGAGCAATACGTGTCTTTGTACCATGAATGCAGAAAAGATCGTTATTTAGGACATGTGGGCTGCTGAGTCCAAGGAAAGTATTTTCAAATGTGCGCATCGTCCGAGATGATGAGATGAGATGCTAACAAGAATTTGTGAATCCGGCCAGTTCATACTTCTGACTGTCCTGAGGACCTTTTCGGCGGGTACGAACTTTTCCACATTCACGGTACAGACTCAGTAGCCAACATGTCCAAAATAATCCGCTTTTGTGAGTATTTCTGAGCACCTTCTGCTCGAGTTGTGATGCTTGCTCCATTCATCAGACTAGGCACCATACCGCGCTTTTTCTAAAATGGAGTACGGGAATGCATGAAGAATCTATGTTTATCTAATCTGAACTTAGTGTTGTTCGTAAGCGATTGGATAACAAAAGGGAGAGGGTGACAGTCGGCATGTCATGTCGGGTAGTAGATAAGCCGAACGCTCTGGGGTGATACTCTCCGACGTGTCCCTCAATTCTTTTATCGGAGGAAAGATTAGAGTGGGGCTTGTCATTCCAAGGGCAAAAGTGGTCTTTACTCGTCAACAGATTGCCTCGCTTCTCCGAGTATATAAGAAGCTGATTCAAGCGTCTCTTGCGTGCTAAACTTACAAAGGAGTGCGCTGCTTTTGACGACTTCGTCGACAGGATTCAGGTGAGCTCGAATCCAGATCCAATCACTCACTGTGAATACGATGAGACATCGAGCTCACTTAGAGCAGTAGCTCAACAGGTGTTCCTCTGAGTTCGTCGTCACGTGGAGTTGTAAGCATGTGAATTCCTCCAATCGACAGTTATTGTGATAACCACGTGGTGACAGTAAGGTCGAGCTAAAGGACACAATAATAGATTTGTACTCATTCGTTAAGGTTGACTTCAGATCTCATGCGGCTGCTCGGTGGAGTAAATCCGATTCTGAAGTACGTGATTTGTCTGCAGGAACCAGGGTACTCTATAAAATGGCTCTCATGTCCGCCGCTGCGTACATTCCGCTGCTATGTGCCTGCTCGTTGATGCTCACCAGCTACGTGGAAGCTTTTTCGAACGTGCTGCTGCAACGTTCCACTATGTTTTCTGGGCAATATCTTGCTGAGGGACCATATCAGTTCAAAATGCAAGAGGACTGCAACCTCGTGGTGTACAACAACGGGCAACCAATCTGGGCGACCGATACCGGTGGTCTAGGCCGCGACTGCGAGTTCAGACTGAAGTCAAATGGAAACGCAGTACTCTACACTGGCTATGACAACGCCTTGTTTGAGTCCAAGACTGCGGACATGAACAACGGGGCTCACTACATAATAATGCAGTGTGATGGCAACGTGGTGATGTACACTGCAGAAGGGAGCCCGATTTGGGCGACCATGACAAACGGAAAAGTCCAGGTCATCGATCTCGGGACACCTCCCACTCCAACCGTGAACTCCACCTCGTCGGCTGTCATCAAGTCTGTGAGAGGAGGACGTTCTCACTAATGAGGTGACAAGGAGAAATACTTCTGGCAGTCACCATCTGAAGAAGGAAACCTACTCTGAATATGGCAGATCCAAACGGTTATGTTATTCTAGTGTTTCTGGGGTTGGATTTGCGGTTATTGATCTAGTATACAGATGAAGATGGTTAAAAGTTTGCTAAATAATCGCACGAATCTGGGATCACGATATAGACCTTCTCAGATCTGTACACATCTTTACTCTGGTATTATCTAAATGTGCATTTGAGATGTGAGATTTCCATCCATCACTCGTTGAGAATGCGGTAACGTACCAACTGTCTATGAGAATGCGGTGAGGTATCAACGATTTATGGAGTTATGTAGTCTGGGAATGTGGAATCTGTCACTCTAAAGAGTATAATGTCATCGATGCAAAGAGGGAGGTCAAGAACGCGGAACACTGGTTTTGGTAGCTATGGAAGATATTATTTAATCTAAACTAATCTCAACAATCTAAATATTTTAGCTAAAAAACATAAACATAAATTATGTTTTAATTGGAATGAACTTTAACAATTGACACATTTCAACCGTAAATAGCTTAAAAGTAAAATTAATTTTTTTAACAAAGTTTAAATTTTGGTTTCTATTTTTGTAAAAATTTATCTATTTATTTGTAAAAATAAATTTTCACTATAGATCATATAAAGATTATGGATATGATTTTCAATTCAAAAAATCAACATATATTATTTTACTTGAAAATTTTAATTATGACATTTTTGTTTGATTTTTATAAAACTTTGAAACTGAAGTGTTTTGCGAAATTTTGCTTGTTTTGTGGATGCATATTATTTTATAAATTTTAGTTTACAAATCGTTCTTTGAAGAAGATTGATTATACATTTTTATGTTTATATAATTATAAATTTATTGTTCGAACAATATCCAAAGCAAGAAGACAGATAATAATATCATGTTGTAAATGAGCGTAAGATTGAAAAATTTCAGTTGTAGGAATTTTCAAAATAATTTTCTTAGATAACAAAAGTTTTAAATCGTTTTTAAAAATTGATGCAAAATCATGACAAGAAATCTGAAAAAAAAATCGAGAATGTAAATATCATAGTTTCTACAAATATTTTGAGATCATTATCAGTACATATTTTGATATGTATGATAAAATAAATCCATATACTTTGTATCCAAAATTTTATTTTTTTGAGAAATAGTAAAAAAATATATTTTACGTTTCAAATTGAAAGATTTTTATACAATTTTATTTTTATATTACTTTTTGAGATAATAAATCAAAATTTATCTATGGTTTTGATTTTGATAGTGTGTTTTATATTATATCAAACGTATAAAAATAAAACACACATTTTCATAACCTTTTATATATTATAATCAAAACTAACTCCGTATTTGTATTATACACTAGCAATAAAAATAACCAAGCATCTGGATACCAAAAGAAAATACTAGATTAGCCTTGTTTTGGTGAAAAAGTATAATCTAGTGAGGGAGAGATTGACATCACTCGGTTGAAATGATTGAAGATCAAATGCGGAACTCATTAACCTTAACCTCTCAGACATTACTATTCAAAAGCACCCAAAAGCTCCAAACCTCCAAATCCCGCATAATCTTTTTTTCCGTCCTCCTTCCTTTTCCCCTCCCTCTAGGAACACTGTGAAACACACATATCATCAAGTATTACTTTACTCGAGGGTAGCATCGATGTGATGGGTGGCCGTTCTTTTGGTTCTTGATTTGTCTGCAAATGTAAGTATAGCAGATTCTTATCGACAGAAGCTCGACGACGATGAGTCCCCCTACAACAACGACGCGGCCCGTTCCAGATAAACTCATTGTGCACCTAGTACCCACACACAAGGCGATTTCAGGTGGCTGAATACGGTTGACCAGTACGGATCCAATAACAGTATCCAGATTGACACTTTCAGATTGCAAGTTGTACACAGACCCAAAGTGCGCCTTCAGCCCCGCCTCCGGACTCAGACTCTGACTGTCCAGAAGAAGGGACTACCGTAGCTAGAAGGCCGTCCACGGGACAGGTAGATGGATGGATAGATATAGAGAGAGATGGACCCGTTCCGTTCCTCTCGTCGACACTACTGCTGGCTGACTGCTGCTCCTGACTAACTCATCCATATTCACTGAGCTCCTTCTTAGTGGGAATATTCGCATCAACAGCTAGGAAGTCCATCGACGCATCCTTCCATACGTCCTTCCTTTCCTTTCCTTCCTTCCTTCCTGCCGTTGCCTGCCAGCCTTCTAGTTGCTTTCATCTCTTCCTGACGAGCTCTAGACTGCTGCAAAACCAGGACAAATGGTCAATCTAGAAGCTCTGAGTCCGTATTTGGTCAAGCCTAATGTTCATGATTAAACGATCCGATAGCCAACTTAGGCATCCAATCCCCGTGATTACATCTGGTCGAGGACCTGATATTGGCCACACCTCGTACAGGATAAAGAATCATTCAAAGACATCCAGTTTTATGTAAGCCATTCTTACGTACGGAAATATCTCAGTCACAGAGGTCGAGTTTTGACCGGCTCCATCCCGGGGATTTTCGATATGAACTTGTAGACGAGCTTTGTCCGGTGTTAGTGTACGCATAGGCTGATTAATCACTTTCATTCAGATTGTCAGAATGAGCAATGCGTGTCCTTGCACCATGAATGTAGAAAAGATCTTTATTTAGGACATGTGGGCTGCTGAGTACAGGAAAGTATTTTCAAATGTGCGCATCGTCCGGATCTGGTAGATGCTAACAAGAATTTGTGAATGCGGCCAAATCATACTTCTGACTGTCCAGAGGAGCTTTTCGGCGGGTACGAACTTTTCCACATTCACATTACAGACTCAGTAGCCAACATGTCCAAAATAATCCGCTTTTGTGAGTATTTTCGAGCACATTCTGCTCGAGTTGTGATGCTTGCTCCGTTCATCATACGAGGTACCATGCCGCGCATGGTCTAAAGTGGAGTACGGGAATGCATGAAGAATATATGTTTATCTAATCTGAACTTAGCGTTGTTTGCAAGCGATTGGATATCAAAAGGGAGAGGGTGACAGTCGGCATCTCATATCGGACAGAAGATAAGCCGAACTCTCTGGGATGATAATCTCCGACGTGTCCCTCAATTCTTTTATCGGAAGAATCATGGCAGTGGGGCTGGTCAGTCCAAGATAAAATGTCATATCCACCCGTCAACAGATTGCCTCGCTTCTCCGAGTATATAAGAAGCTGATTCAAGCGTCTCTTGCGTGCTAAACTTACAAACGAGCGCGCTACTTTTGACTGGCTTCGTCGACAGGATTCAGGTGAGCTCCAAACCAGATCCAATCACTCACTGTGAATACGATGAGACATCGAGCTCACTTAGAGCAGTAGCTCAACAGGTGTTCCTCTGAGTTCCTCGTCACGTGGAGTTGTAAGCATGTGAATTCCTCGAATCGACAGTTATTGTGATAACCACGTGGTGACAGTAAGGTCGAGCTAAAGGACACAATAATAGATTTGTACTCATTCGTTAAGGTTGACTTCAGATCTCATGCGGCTGCTCGGTGGAGTAAATCCGATTCTGAAGTACGTGATTTGTCTGCAGGAACCAGGGTACTCTATAAAATGGCTCTCATGTCCGCCGCTGCGTACATTCCGCTGCTATGTGCCTGCTCGTTGATGCTCACGAGCTCCGTGGAAGCTTTTTCTAACGTGCTGCTGCAAGGTTCAACTATGTTTTCTGAGCAATATCTTGCTCAGGGACCTTATCAGTTCAAAATGCAAGAGGACTGCAACCTCGTGTTGTACAAGAACGGGCAACCACTCTGGGCGACCGATACCGGTGGTCTAGGCCGCGACTGCGAGTTCAGACTGAAGAAAAATGGAAATGCTGTACTCTACACTGGCTATGACAACGCCTTGTTTGAGTCCAAGACTGCGGACATGAACAACGGGGCTCACTACATAATAATGCAGTGTGATGGCAACGTGGTGATGTACACTGCAGAAGGGAGCCCGATTTGGGCGACCATGACAAACGGAAAAGTCCAGGTCATCGATCTCGGCTCACCTCCAACTCCAACCGTGAACTCCACCTCGTCGGCTGTCATCAAGTCTGTGAGAGGAGGACGTTCTCACTAGTGAGGTGAGAAGGAGAAATCCTTCTGTCAGTCACCATCTGAAGAAGGAAACCTACTCGGAATATGGCAGATCCAAATGGTTATGTTATTCTAGTATTTCTGGGGTTGGATTTGCGGTTATTGATCTAGTATACAGATGAAGATGGTTAAAAGTTTGCTAAATAATCGTACGAATCTGGGGATCAGGATATAGACCTTCTCAGATTTCTGTACACATCTTTACTCTGGTATAATCTAAGTGTGCATTTGAGATGTGAGATTTCCATCCATCACCCAGTTGAGAATGTGGTAAGGTATCAAGGATTTATGAGAATGTGGTGAGGTGTCAACGATTTATGGCGATTTGTAGTCTGGGAGTTTTGAATCTGTCACTTTAAAGAGTAAAACATCATCCATGCAACGAGTGGGGTCAAGAAGAGGAGCGCGAAAACTTGTGCAGGTAGCCATGGCTCCTAACTTATGTATTTGCATGCAATCAGACTTGCACGTGATTTGTGGAGTGTGATTTGCATGACGTTCATTTAAAGGGAACACATCGAACCAGCCCAAACTTAGTAAGAACTGCTGCTCTTAATGTAGCTACTTGTGAACTACTCAATTAAGTGTTACGCTGAACACACACAAAAAGGCCTGTGACTGGCTTGCCTTGTAGCACGATTACTGGCCTAGTGGTTAAAAACTATGTCACCTCGTATCAGCCCAAGGTGTGTTAGGTTACTTTAACCCTGTGGTTCCAAGCATATCTGTGCACATGGTTGAAGATCCAACATATCATAGTGAAATAAGCTCTAGAACATCCAAAAAATTACATAAATTTATTTGCAAATTGAAGGTTTATCCTTGTTTCAACGGAGGTATAAGTTCCCGTACTTTGGAAGAACGCCTTGATATCGGCATGTGCTCATCTTGCGAACCTCACCATCCTGCTGGTTTCCCTGTAACCTGTTTCTCTGGCCTCCATTGCTTGTTAGTAGACTTAGTTCCGCAATAAGCACATACGCTCTACTTTGTTGGTACCATTTTTTTCTACTTTTTCCAAGAACAAACTATGTAATTCTCTTCTAGAGAACTAGGACAAACTATTTCCTGTTGATGAATAAATCGCAGAATATTCAGACTCCTTGTAAACTACGGTAATCTATGTCTCTGAGTAATAATTGCACTATTTTGAACACTTGAAAATAGTGGAATTAATATTTGCTTTCATCTTGTTATTAGAGTTCTCATAATATTTTCCTCAACAAGAACTTCAAATCTATGATATGACAGTCAATTTCCAAATTATCCTTTGCAAGTTAGGTTGTTCCTAGCTTTCGGTTTTAATCCTACCGTCTTTTTTCATTCCTCAGGGATATGAGGTTTCCACATTAACATCATTCAACATCATGATGAATTCATGCATCATCAAAATCAATTATTTTCATTCTTTAAACCACAATCGGACTGATGTTTTCTTAAGTACGCATGAGTATTGCTTCTTTTTCTTCATATTTCTTAAACCAATGAAGTGTCAGATTTTAGACATTTAATATGAGAAAACATGGCATAGGTATGTGGTCCTGAGTATCAAATTTAGAAATTTTGATTATGTCAATGTAAAGCGATCGATGAGACTAAGCCTGAAAACAGGAGATCAACCGATCTGTTTGTCAAACAGTGGATGACGTGCTAAAGGAATGATCGGACCAACGAGTGTTGGGAGGATGGCGGAGTTGTGATCTTGGATGAGAAAGCTACATAGGTGGCAGTGGTAAGGAAGTGTTGGTATCGCTTATTCGAAATAAGTCAGACTGTTTTAATCAGTATTGAATGCTTGTACATATAATGTAATCTATAACATCAGTCTACTGAATAGCTGATTAAGTTGCTAATTTAATTTTAGCCTAGGAAGAACCTTGATGAACATATTTGCTAGCTGTAATTTTGGAGAAGGAAATCGAACTTTGATCTCCTTCAAAGCTACCTACTTGAAAAATAGATAATAATTTTATGTCGTTAATGTGCATAAGACTGTACAATTTATGTGTAGGAATTTTCTACTAACGTTCTTGGAAATTATAAGTTTCAAAGAATTTTTAAAAATTGATGCAAAATCCTAAAAAAAAAATCTTTGAACAAAAATCGAGAAAATACATATCTTGATTTAAAAAATATTTTAAAATAAATATCAGTTTATTTTTTTGCTATGTATGATAAAATAAATCCATAAACTTTCGATTCAATTTTAATTAAAATTTTGGAGAAATAGTAAAAAAATGATATTATGTTTCTTTGAAATATTTTTATTGATATTTATTTCAATATTACTTTTTGAGATGATAAATCAGATATATTCTATGGTTTTGATTTTGATTTTGTGTTTTATATTATGTCAAAGGTATTAAAAATAAACAACCATTTTCATAACCTTTCATTCATTTCTCTCTAAGTTTGAGTTAGAAATATAACTCGAAACTTTTCTATGAACTTGTTATTTACCTTTTCTATATTATAATCAAAACTAACTCAGTATTTGTATTATACACTAGCAATGAAAATAACCAAGCATCTGGATCCCAAAAGAAAATACTAGACTGGCCTTGTTTTGGTGAAAAAGTATAATCTAGTGAGGGAGAGAATGACATCATTCGGTTGAAATGATTGAAGATCAAATGCGGAACTCATTAAACTTAATCTCTCAGACATTACTTTTCAAAAGCACCCAAAAGCTCCAAACCTCTAAATCCCGCATAATCTTTCTTTTCGTCCTCCTTCCTTTTCCCTTCCCTCTAGTAGATTACTTGATGGGAACATTGTGAAATACACATATCATCAAATGTAATATTTGATGATATGTGATGGCCCTTCTTTTGGGTTTTGATTTGTCTGCAATTGTAAGTATAGCAGATTCTTATCGACAGAAGCTCGACGACTATGAGTACCCCCACAACAACGACGCGGCCCGTTCCAGATGAACTCATTGTGCACCTAGTCCCCACACACAAGGCGATTTCACGTGGCTGAATACGGTTGACCAGTACGGATCCAATAACAGTATCCAGATTGACTCTTGCAGATTGCAAATCCTACACAGACCCAAAGTGCGCCTCAGCACGACATTCTTCCTCGACATATTGGAATTCGCTTTGTAGATGAATTAGGTCACTCGGCAAAAATTAGACATGGTGTTCACGCGTTGAATGGCGGATGAAGCAGAGACACACCTCCAACTCTCGCATTCTCGACATTGAGACTTTGAAACGCTCATGGCCCTTGTATTGCCAAACCATAGCTGCTGCTACTCTTCTGTCAGCAGCAAAGCCAAAGACTCTAAACCAACACAAGGTCGATTTGGAAATCAACTGTGTCTGGCTATACTAAACATGGGTGACGGCGAACAGCGTCGGTAGGGTCCATCGAGTATAATGATACTTGATGGTCCCAGTAACCCATCTCACATAATTTACTGGGACCTGTGGAACACACATAGGCTATGTGTGTTCCACAGGTCCCATCAAGTAATTTTCTCTGATCTCCTCCCCCCTACTCGCCTCGCGTCTCCTCTACTCTTGTCTACGTCATGCCAAGTCCAACAGCATATCAACCAAAACTACGTCCCCATGATTGATTGCAGCTGCAGGGACCCTCCTTCCAACGCCCTCCCTTCCTGGCTTTAGCCCCGCCTCCGGACTCAGACTCTGACTGTCCAGAAGAAGGGACTACCGTAGCTAGAAGGCCGTCCTAGGACAGGTAGATGGATGGATAGATATAGAGAGAGATGGACCCGTTCCGTTCCTCTCGTCGACACTACTGCTGGCTGACTGCTGCTCCTGACTAACTCATCCATATTCACTGAGCTCCTTCTTAGTGGGAATATTCGCATCAACAGCTAGGAAGTCCATCGAAATATCCTTCCATACATCTTTCCTTTCCTTTCCTTTCCTTCCTTCCTTCCTTCCTTCCTTCCTTCCTTCCTTCCTTCCTGCCGTTGCCTGCCAGCCTTCTAGTTGCTTTCTTCTCTCCCTGACTAGCTCTAGCCTGCTGCAAAACCAGGACAAATATTCAATCTAGAAGCTCTGAGTCCGTATTTGGTCAAGCCTAATGTTCGTGATTAAACGATCTGATAGCCAACTTGGGCATCCAAACCCTGTGGTAACATCTGGTCGAGGACCTGATATTGGCCACGCCTCGTACAGGATAAAGAATCATTCAAAGACATCCAGTTTTATGTTCAACCCATTCTTAACTACGGAAATATCTCAGTCACAGAGGTCGAGTTTCGACCGGCTCCATCCCGGGGAGTTTCGATATGAACTTGTAGACGAGTTTTGTCCGGTGTTGGTGTTCGCATATGCTGATTTATCTAATCACTTTCATTCAGATTGTCAGAATTAGCAATATCTGTCTTTCAACAGTAAATGTGGAAAATATCGTTCTTCAGGACATGTGGGCTGCTGAGTCCGAGAACAGTATTTTCAAATGTGCGCATCGTCCGGATCTGGTAGATGCTAACAAGAATTTGTGGATCCGGCCAAATCATACTTCTGACTGTCCTGAGGAGCTTTTCAACGGGTACGAACTTTTACACATTCACGGTACAGACCCAGTAGCCCACATGTCCAAAATAATCCGCTTTCGTGAGTATTTTCGATCACATTTTGTTCGAGTTGTGATGCTTGCTCCGTTCATCAGATGAGGTACCATACCACGCGTATTCTAAAGTGGAGTACAGGAATGCATGAAGAATCGATAATCTTATCTGAACTTAGCGCTGTTTGCAGGCGATTGGATATCAGAAGGGAGAGGGTGACAGTCCGCATCTCATGTCGGGTAGTAGATAAGCCGAACGCTCTGGAGTGATACTATCCGACGTGTCCCTCAATTCTTTTATCGGAAGAATCATAGGAGTGGGGCTGGTCAGTCCAAGGTAAAATGTCATATCCACCCGTCAATAGATTGCCTCGCTTCTCCGAGTATATAAGAAGCTGATTCAAGCGTCTCTTGCGTGCTAAATTCACAAACGAGCTCGCTACTTTTGACAGGCTTCCTCGACAGGATTCAGGTGAGCTCCAAACCAGATCCAATCACTCACTCTGAATACGATGAGACATCGAGCTCCCTTAGAGCAGTAGCTCACAGGTGTTCCTCAGAGTTCCTCTTCACGTAGAGTTGT